GTCTCTCATAGAAACACACAGACAGTGATCAGATGTTTCTTTGATTTGCATAATTCTTGTTTATTACTATTATCATCATGTATTTGTATTTCTGTCCGTAACCACACTCTCAGTTTAATCTCTAATTTAATTTGGTATACTACGATGTGTATGCAAACTAGCTGAATAACACACTTATATGAGACCAGTTTATTTAAAGCATGTTGAACACATCTGGATAGACAGCGGGCTCGTTTCAAACTGTTTGGGATTTTTGACATTTATTATTTGACATACTTTTAGATGAACCTTCTTCCACAGAGCAGAAGACTTCATTTCAACCTTAAGTACATCCATATTCTGAGCAATAAAAGACCCTAACTATGTAAATAATAAGCTGTTCTTAACCAAAATGTTCCATAAAAGTTGTTTCTCATCATTTAACCTTAAAACTAGTCTAGCATTTTAGTTTGTTCTAAATAATTAACAGGGAAGTATTTAAATGGAAAGAGAAATGGATTTATGCAGAAAGAGACAGAACAAATAATAAGGGAAGCAACATAAAACATGTTCAGAGATGTTGAGCCCACATCAGACTTCACTGTGTTTTACCATGGGCGGGCCGTGTGTGTGTGTGTGTGTGTGTGTGTGTGTGTGTGTGTGTGTGTGTGTGTGTGTGTGTGTGTGTGTGTGTGTGTGTGTGAGCTATTTTTGTGTCTGTGCATTTGCATTTTCATAAAGGAACAACAAAGAGAATATTTGTATAAAGGCCTCGATGTCTCATTTTGATTGTGGTGTGTGTGTGTGTGTGTGTGTGTGTGTGTGTGTGTGTGTTTGCATGTGTGTGTGTGTGTGTGTTTGCATGTGTGTGCATGTGTGTGTGTGTGTGTGTGTGTTTTTGGGTGTTTCCCTCCTCCCTCCCATATAAGTGCATCTGCAGTATTTCCCTTCTCTCTGATTATGGGATGGATGGCGGACGGTGCCAGGTTGCAACCATGGCAACCACAGGGTGTGTCGGCTTGATATCCAGGTGTGGCGCAGGTGACTTCCTGGCAGTGCGTGTGTGTGTTGCTACGGAAACAGCCCTACCGACAGGCTGAAGTGTGTTCAGGCAGCAGAGCTCAGAGACTCAGAGTTATAGAAATGTGCAGCTTTGATACAGAGAACAGGTGAAACACATACGAGTCTATACAAATATGTATACAAGTATATATGTATATTTGTATATACATATATATGTATTTTTGAGTCCTCTGGATTGTGGGAAACGGTATTTCGATCTCTCTGTCTGTACACAAAGTGAAAGATAGACAATACAGTTGACTTTGACTAGTCTCAAGTGTTTTCTGTGAAGTCAATTCCAAAAAGTGCCTAAAGTTCAGATATCTAACAAGTCATTACTCAAGACTAACAAGTCGAAATAAAGCCTAACAAGCCCACATTTCAGACCTACAAGTCCAAATCCAAGTCTAACAAGTCCATATTTATAACTAACAAGTCATAATTCAAGTCTAACAAGTCTTCTAAGACATCTAAGACCAACACGTTTCAATTCAAGAGGAACAAGACCCAAGTCAAAAAAGGAAAGCCCTGAATAAAGTCCCAATGAAATACCAACAAGTCCAAACGTCTGCTTCCTGAGTTCAGGATGATCTCTAACGAGCAAAAAGAGCCACCGGTGCAAAAGATGAAAAACAAAAACAACCTACTTTCACTTCTCCTTAAACGAAAACTAGAACAACTTCTTCTTTCCCCCAAACTAAGAATACTTGAATATCACAAAAAACAAATGTCCCCTCACGCTCCAGTTTACATTACATCACATGTCTCTTGTTAGACGCTTTCATCCAAAGCGACTCACATACTCAGCACTGTGGGCAATCCCCACAGGAGCAGTTTGGGGTGAAGTGTCTCAGGGACACAACGACATGCTGACTGCAGTGGGGTTTGAACCTGAACCCCCTGATCCCAACACCAACGCACAACCCACTGCGCCACACGCCTGTCTGATGGTGGAGAGGAAAATAGTTTATAGTGGTCGTTTTGAATGGATGTGAGTGTTTGACCCGTGGCATGTCACACACGGGATAAGGTTGTTTTTATTATAATTTGTTTGTATATTTAGGGAGTTACCTGCCAGGTGAAAAGAGGGAGGAGTCAGACTGATGGAGATATTATTGGCTCTTACCTTTCTTCACCTTCTTCTGCAGTTTGATGGTGTCGGACGACTTCTTCTTGATGTCCGCTCTGGCCTTCTTGTACTCTGAACAAACAACAACAAGGAGGCAGTGAGGGAGAGTGTGTGTTTGCAGGTCTGTGTGTGTGTGTGTGTGTGTTAGCATACCTTTAGCGTGGTCTTTGTCCAGCTGACTGGCCACTTTCTTCCACTCCTCCATCTTTAGCTCCAGGGGAGAGACCAAACCCTCGGAGAGCGCTCTGAGAGGAACAGATGTGTAAAGACGTGTTTAAAAACCTTTGAATTGATGCAGCAAATATATGGTTAGTGTTGTTTTATTATTCA